TTTGTCGTGTAAAGTGGACAGCTGCTGAGCGGCTGCGACAGATTTTTCTGAAACTCTTGTTGCACAGCGAGCGAGGCATGACATGACCTTCTTCTCCCACATCAATGCCAGCAAAACTGCTCAGACGGTGCATGATGAGTACTGGCACTCTCATATTGCAGCTGGGATAATTACAGTCATGCCAGCAGCGCGACGATTACTGGAAGCCCGGCAGCTTCAATTTATGTTCTGCACGAAGGACACGGAGCAATATGGCACTTTCGCCTACACAGTCCTGCTGTACCTTAACACGGAAGCCCAGGACGCACAGGGAGATGTTTCAAGTAATAGCTCGGCAAAGCAGTGCGGACAATCGTTGGAGCGCGACTTGCAGACAAACCGACTGCGCCCCGGCACAGCCGAGACAGGACTTCGATGGCGGTGAGTTTATCTTCGAGGATCTGGCTGTGCACTCGGGTAGTCATCCCGACCCTTCGACATCCTCTGACACAAACTCACTGATTTGGCAGGAGTCAAAGGGCGAGGGCTTCAGGGTGCCTGCGGCAGCTGTGGAGCCTCGGGCGGGTCGCATCGTGGCTTTCAGCAGTGACGCAGAGAACCCGCACAAGGTCCGGGCTTCGGGCAATTCACTTCTCCGTCGTGCTCGGGTTTCGGCATAATTTCGAGCCAGACTTCTAACAACCACTGAGGTTACCAGTGCCGGCAGCATCCTTTCAGACATCATGCCCATGCCTAGCAGTTTTGCATTGTTCTCAAGACGCTTTGTTGGCGATCGACTCGTAAGCATCCCACGTCTAGCAGGGGAAAGGGCCTGCACAATGGAGGTGGGGACAATGGCAGTCATGCAGCTGGCTGTTGGATTCTGCAGGTCCTGGCTGTGTCCAAAGGCATCCGCATGGCTCTGACTGCAGCCTTCACTTGCAGCCAAGAGCAGGTGACTGGGCAGCCCAGGTTTTCGCGAGTTGTCTTGTTTGTTCTGGAAGTTAGAGTCTATAGTCACTCTGTGGATCCCTGTGGAATCGTGCTGCGACATTTTACCGGGGCGCGCCCTACTACGGAGTCGTAAAGTTCGTGCCTGAGCAGTCATTCATGCTTTCTAAGGCCATGGCGATCCAAAGCTTTCCGAATCCTGCGATGGTAGAGGATTCTGGCACTGCAGCTCAGTAGCGTCAAAGACATTAAAAAGTGTGTCCAAACTTGTGTTTCGCAGCTTGTTGGCCTGCAAGTTAGCCAGACCATCTGCGGGCTGTCGCCACTCCGATTGTCCGAAATTCCAAGTAGAGGTCGCGTGCCAGCACAGGCACTAAGCTTCGAGCCGGAAGGCTTCGACCACCAAATCCACAAGAATCGACGGGATGATTCGGGTGCATCCTGCAGCGATGCAGGAAGAACAAGACTACATGACCTTGGGATTGAAAGCACAGAGAGCCATGGAGTCTTGGCCTGGCATTGGTGAAGCTGCAGCAGTTGGCAGCTGGCCCGCCACCACGAATAGCCACGTGGCAGGCATTGACATCGAAATCAAGTTTGATGTTGTCATGATTGCTGTGAGAGTAGTTGACGATGATGGTCTTGACTGTATCGATGTCGCTTGAGCTTCTAGCCGTGGAATGCTGTTGCCAGTGTTGGAGGGTTGGCTGGCACAGCCTTGGTCCGGCACGTTCGTACGTACATACATGTCAGCAGCTTCATCTGAGAATAAGTGGAACTTTCGCCCCAGGCCAAGGAAACACCCTGCTCGAGCCTTGGGGGCCGTGGCTTCCCGAGGTGGAGGCAGTGCATGTCACGTGCCTTGTGCTTGCCATTCCTTCGATCTGCTTGCCATGTCAGGATTCGTGGGTCCCGGCTTGGCCATCAGGTTTCAAGGAACTCTGGTCGTTCACATGCCTAAGGATGCCAAAGGTCTGAAAGGAGGATTTTGCAAGAAGGCTTCTGACGTTTCGAACCTTTTCGAGGACGCATGCGCTGCACCAACAGATCCAGAGAAAGAACATTTGCAAGCAGACCTCAGTGAGGCACGGGTGGGAGAGTTCCGTGCGTGTCAGAAAGTGAACGGTCTGCCAAAGCACTATGCGCATCAGTCTTGCAAGATATATTGACGTAGATAAGTTAGGCTGCATTTTTTTTGGGGGGGGGGGGTACAGGACTGTGACAGTGACTGGGCTGCGGCGATCCGGGCAGCACTGCCAGAGCCGGAGGGCGGATTCCCAAGCGAGGTGGGGCAGGGATGGTTCGGTGTCTGGCGTCGCTACTTACTTGCTCGACAGCGATCTGTAAGTTTAAGCTTCTAATTAGCTGTGTTCCTGGCCGCTCCACTCAGCTTGCAGGGGTTTGCTGTCACGGCCTACAGGGCCTACAGTAGTGCCGTCGAGCGTTTCTAGTTGGCCTTTTCCACCTTGGCCGAGGCCTTCTCTTACTCACCGACGGCATGTCTAGACTCCGGGAGAAGCCAGGACGCAGACAATAACACCAGGTTTGGAACTGGGTGCGACTCGACGTGGCTGCCAGTATCCCAGGTGTTGTCACGAAGCAGCTATCCCCAAGATAATTCTTAGATAAACGTATGTGATCCTCTGCGGCGTGTTCAAGCGAAGTCAGGACGAGTATCTGGCGAAGCTCGAGAAGCGTTTGCATAGCTTGCGCCGTGTGCCACAGCGGAGCGCAGTTCCCTGGCGCGACGGTCCTGACAGAGGGCTGATTGCCTGGTCGTCAAAGGTTCTGCCAGAGGACGAGCCCAGCCAAGGTCATCCAGCTTTCCGACTTCTCGGTCTCGGAACACAAGCTGCACTGGCCTTCAGAGGACCTTTCAGTTTCAGGCCCCGGGAAGATCACAAGATTACTGTATGTAATGCGCGGCCACGCATAGTGTGAACATGTACTGTGACTGCAGTCTCTCACAAGGTCACAGCACACCACTCTGCAAAGAAGCACGGAACTTTAATTAATCAAGCAGCCCCTGTGAAAGTGGGCACTCACCCGGTAAATCGCACGGACCATACTGGTATCCATAGCCAAACCAAGCCATGCCCACTGGTAGTAGTGGATAACACTGGTCAAAGTGCCAGGCTGGCCTCCCGATGTGTCGGGTGTTGAAAGTGCTCCACTCCTGGAGTACAGTGTCGATCCCGCCTGGCCCTGACGTGCCCTGACTTTGGCTGGTATCGGTGAAGTGCGCTGTTGCGGCCTGGGCCTAAACAAACGCTCATGAGTTTTCGAGATCGCCTGCAAGCGAGCCAAAAGTCTGCGGTGCAAGTCTTCATTAGGACGGCTACTGCCTCAAGTCAGGAGAGAGAGCTCAGCCAGCCTTGCTGCAGAGTTTTCGGACCTCTGTCGGCAGTGAGCCTGCACATGTGGGCTGCGCCACTTCCGTCTCAAGCGTACCATGTGTAAGCAAGTGTTCACGTTACCAGCCGTTGACGGTTCTCACCCTGCTCCTAACTTGTTCTGAACCTTCAGTACGACCAACCAGCCAAGAAGATTGAGCACTGGCGCTCTCTGCGCACGACGCGTCACTCACGATGCAGCGTGCCAGTGACTGGAGCCAGGCATCTTGCATCATGCAGCCCAGCAATACAACGTACAATCGATGTGGTTTCCGTGTGGCTCTTTAGAGTTTCTTCAGGAGTCTCGGCGCTTGGAAAATCTGCGGAGTCGGTTGCCTAAACAAGAGGCAAGGGAGAGTGCGGTTCATTGTCAGCCCCGCCCTTCCCCACATTACAGTGAACGACAAGGCAAAACCGAGAACAGATAGACAGACAGCCAAAGAGCTAGACCGACATCTGAGACAGACAGACACAGAGACACATGTTATAATACGTGTACATACGTGTATGAATGTGTATCTGTTGTATTTATGTGACTCTGTACTAGTTAATTTGCATTTATGCCTGCCATATACGTGTAGCCATGGACAGACACAGGCAGACAGCAACAGAGACAGGGGTACGGAGACTCAGACAGAGACAGACAGACACTCAGACTGACGAAGCCCACCCATCCGCATAGATGACAGATGCCCGCTGCTTGCTGCGAGAGATCAGTTCGACTGCAGGAATGGCAACTGAGAATGCGCAGCAAGGTTCGGCCCAGGCAACTGATAGCATGGGATGCCAGTGGGCGGCACGTGTTTGCGCACTGCCCGTGTGTTGCTGTTTGGAGTTTGTGCAAATGTTTCGCAAGACGAAGTGCTGGCAGACCTTCGACGCTGGACGCTTTGGTCGCTGGCTGCGCATGATGCGGAAGCCCCAAGACGTGCTGTGATTTTGCCCCAGCTGCATACTTAAGCCGCAGAGAGTCACCATTTTTTGGTGACGGCATGCCCCAAGCCCCGCTTTCGCCTACTGTAGAGCCTATAGAAGTCAGACAGACGAACGCTCTAAATCTGTCAAACCAGTCTGAAAGAGTTTGTTGACGAAGCATCTTTTTGTTGCGCCGAGGTTGGTGTCCTTCTATACCGATGAAGAAGCAGCGGTGGCCGATGTGTTGTACTCCCGGGGATTACATCCATGGAGATCTGTGGCTATGGAGGGGTGTGAGACGACTGGGATAGCGGTTGTGTTGCAACCGACCTCCTGCCGAAGCTTTTCGAGTCTCTTTGGCGATTTCGTCATATACAAGGGTCAAGGGTGCTGGTAGCAGCGAGCGTCGCTTGCAGTGACAGTCAGGGTCCAGGGTCAGGGACAGACGGCAGAGATTCATGCTCGTGCGGCACGGTGACTGCACTGCGCACATTCTTGTGAACACTTATATACGGCTCAAGCTGCCCCCTGCTTTTGGTTCCTCTCAGAGCAGCCGTCCTGCAAGCTGCTGGCTGCACCTGGGCCGGATTCTTGATTCGGCTTCCAATCGAAGTGTTTTTGCCGGTCCGAGCCTGTGAGCTGGTGCAACAACGATGCACAGGACGCCGCCAGTTGCTGCAGGTCCATCATGTCCGGAGGCTACACCAATGGTAGCGCTGGGGGAAGACGCCTCCCGACTGAAGGAGCTTGTCTTGTTCCCAGCGCGGTTTACCAGGCGAAGTTCGTCAGGATAATTTAGACGTTCACACGGAATGTCCAATGTGGGCATGCGAGGCGAGTACGACCACCCCATCGTCATCCTGGGTGGTGGCATGGGCGGCCTCATGACGGCCGTGGACTTTCTGAGGAATCGGGCAAAATTGAATGCAGTGTTTATTTCGCTGCTGGCCAGAAGAAACGGTGCAGGGGATATCGAGATGCGTTGCGTAGTGTTTGACACATCGCAGGCAGAACCGCAAAGACTTTATCATCTTGGAGCGTGACTTGGCTGTCTTGGTGAGTGACGGCTGACTGGCTCCAATGAAAAAGTAGGATGACAGGTGAACTCGTGTGCTCCATCCAACTGCGCGCACGGACTGAACATGTTGCAGACACTGAGCCGACTGCCGTTGGTGAATCAATTCCCCTTATCTTGCCTTGGCAATTCACACGCAAGAGCACACGGACTTGGAGAAGTCCTTGCTCCGGCTTCGCCAGCTGCAGAGCATCACAACCTGTCCTTCGCTTCACCGCCATGCAAGCTGCTGGCCAAGCTTTGAACTCTGCTGTATGCAAAACATACCACAAACGCCAGGTTACGATGCCTTTGGTGGGACGACCTGGCGGGATGTGGCCAATGAAACCACCAAGTTACAGACAGAGAAGGCTCACCGTCTATAATTTATAATCCCTGTATTTTTCAGGCGAACTTGCAGGCATCTGATCTCCGATGTCAACATTGGTGGGCTTTGTTGATTCAAGCTTGACGTATCGGTGTGTCGTGATCAAGCGAGCCCTTCCCGAAGATGAATTGCACCGATCTGCAGCCAGGGAACTTATGTTCCGGAGTATTTGGACCCCGAAGTCCATGCAGATGAGGACCCGGAAGTGAGGCTTCTGTGGTGAAGCCACGGTTCTAGACTGTTCGCTTGAAGAGTGGGTTGACGAGGACCAGAAGACCTGGCCTTCGCGCGACAGCATCCTGGACATGTGCGTTGCTTGTGCGGAGAAGCACGGCCTGGAGGACAAGGCCAAGCTCCTTGTCTGAATAGCTCTGGGCAGGTGATGAGCAGCATCTGAGATTTCAAGCGCAGCCACCGCTGGTTCTTGATAGGATTTGCACAGCGCTGATTGAGTATCAAGATGCATCAAGAAGCTGGACAGCCTGGCATAATCCACCCAGAATCAGGTTTTCAGTTGCTGCATAGCAACAACGTTCTTGCATGAAGTGTTGCTTTTTCAACATGGGGTGCTTGTGTGCATGCAACGCACATCTGCACCTCAACGGCGAACCCTAGTCTAGATTTGCAGGACTTGTCCCTGCAAGCCAGTCTCCTCGGCGGGACACGGATGAACTTCAGGTTCAACACGTCTCTCGAGAAGGTCGAGGTTAAGGGTGACCTCCTTGCCGGCGGACATATTGCCACTGAGATGTCCAGTAGTTGACCTCATTCCGTAGGTTTTTACGTAGCTGTCAATAGCAGATTTGGCAGGTCTTGCTCGGTACTTGTGCCCAAACATCCAAGCCCGAAAATTGCAATCATCGGATTACAAAACTTGCGGGCCATTGTTTGAAGGGGCTTGTCCCCTATCTGGGCTGTTCCGTAACAACGAATCGGATCCGGGCTTCAATCGCTTATTCTGGGCCGATGTTGCACGATGTAATTAGGTGGAGCATGTGTGAGCAGCACGAGAAGACTGTGAGTGCGGTCCATTCAAATTTGGGCAAGTGCAGTCAACCTGAGGAGTTGGGCATCACTACCGAAGACTCCTCGGAAACCCTGAAGTGCTCCGCGCTGGTGTCCTGCCCAGGCGCAAAGCTCAGTTCCTTTCGAAAACGCACTGGCCACCGCATTGGCCTATTGTTGAAAGTGTTTTGCGGCCCGATTGTTCAGATGTCGCTGCTGCAGGCTGTCGTGGCACAGTGTGGCATGTTTTTGTTGGTGCACGGTTCCATGCAGGTGTGTTCTACAATCCTATCGACTTGAAATGGCCGGGTCGCGAGGATTTTGGTGGCTTCTTGGCCCAGAGAATTTACGAAGGTGGCACCTCGGCCAGCCTTGCTCCAGCCTGGCTCTTGATCCAACCACTGCAGGTTACGTCACCCATGGCTCCTACGATGGCATCAACTACGACAAGCTGAAAGATGCACACGTATGTAACTTAGCTGACATGGGGCTCACGAGGCCAAGTCAAGTCGGCCCAGTCCGTTGGAGTCGATGTCGAAGCCTGTAACGGCTGTAATTGCAGACGCATGCCAAGACATGCTCGTGTTTTTCACCTTGCCTGCTGCAGGTATTGTAGGCCACGGAGGCTTTACCATCGAGAACGTCCGCACCTGCGTGGAGCGAAAGTCAAAGAAGATTTACGTTATTTGTCGGCATCGTCACTTGGCTGGACCAAAGATGGTCTCCTGGATGGTCAGTGGTGCTCCTGTTCCGATTCCGGGGCCGTTCATCGTCGAAGCCTTCCAGAAGATGTATGACCCTTGTTACATTGGGCAAGTACATTTTTTTTGGCATTACTGTGCGTTGTTTCTCAAAGTTGCCTTAAGCACCGCATCCCAAATCTAGACTCCACATCTGAGGGTCTGCTGGGAGTTGACGTTTGGACTCATCCAGTTGTGAACGCCAATGCCGACCGATCCAGTGCCGTTTTGACTCAGACGACCACTTTCGGCGTGACAGACATCTACTTTCTTGCGTGCTACTACAAGGCATGGGTCCAAGTAAAGTACTGAGAGGGAACAGTCTGCGAGGGTCGAATCAGAGTCTAAGTATTGCTGGAATCTCAAGCTGGTGCACGCTTTGCAGCGCGCCAAGGTGTGCGAGGTCATCCAAGGTGAGATTGACAAGCTCAGCAAAGGTGAGAGCCCCAACCTCTTCGAGTACGGGCGAAGTGTAGATGTGAGACGGTATTCGCGTCGTGCAGTCCCCCCAGCAGGCAAGGTCCACCTCAAGGACGGCAAGGAGTTGGAGTGCAATGCCCCTCAAAAGGATCATAGCTGTAAACTCGTAGGGATGTGTAGGGCACTTGCTGTCTAAACCTTGCACGCATAGGCAGCAGATGGTTTGGTACGGCATGCTTGTATAGGAAGTACGGTAAGTACGGCATGCTTTTTATAGGAAGGCAACATAGGGCAGCTGATGGATCCGATATTGAACGGTTTCGTTTGTACTTCGGGTCTGATTGGGTGATGTAATCGCCCAGGTCGTCATGAAGTGTCTGGGAAGCCACGGGGCTACAGACTTTGACGATATCATCGGCTTCAAGTTTTATCAGGGCTGGTGGGTCAATGGCGAGGCTCTGATGCCCTGCATGGCGCCAGCCAAAGGCCGGTCTACCAGTGCTGCTTCTCTTGTGTGCACCGAAGACCGAAAATTGAGCTGAAAGTGACGTTGCGGATCCGCAAGGTCGTTATTAGTTTTACCAATTGGGTGGTTCTTCGGCCGCGTTTTTTGTCGGTAACGCTGTTCCACTGAAAGGTGTGCAAGCCAAGAACTTCGCGGGTTTCAGCCTTGCCCCAGGCGGCTTGTCAAGTGATGCCGGGTTCAGTTTTGATGAGTCTCGCTAGGGTTCGATGAACTAGACTATGCCGGTTGTTTGCCGAGGCTACGCCGGGCAGATCATCACCAACAGATACTTCATCGACCACCCGGAGAAGTTCTTAGGCAATTGCTCACACAGTCTACATTTCCTTCCCACAGCGGTAACCACCACCACCCCCCGCACTGCCACCGCCACCGGCACCACCATCACCATCACCACAACCACCACCACCGCCGCCACCACCACCACCACCACCACCACCACCACCACCACCAACACTACGAAGGCTAGTACGACAGCTGCAGCTGATGTTGCCGCTGCTGCTGCTGCTACTACTACTACTATACTACTACTACTACTACTACTACTACTACTACTCCTGCTGCTGCTGATGCTGCTGCTGCTGCTGCTGCTGCTGCTACTGCTACTGCTACCACTGCTGCATGCTAGTGCTACGGCTACGGCTACGGCTACTGCTACTACTGCTACCACTGTTACTACTACTACTACTACTACTACTACTACTACTACCACCTTCACCACCACCACCACGACGACGACTACTACTATTACTACTGCTACTACTACTACTACCACCACTGCGGCTACTACTACGGCGACGACTGCTACTGCTACTACTGCTACTACTGCTACTACTCCTACTTCTACTTCTACTTCTACTTCTACTACTACTACTACTACTACTACTACGACGACTACGGCTGGTACTACAACTACAGCAACTTCCACTGCTGCTTCTACTTCTTCTTACATTTCTTCTA